GAACATTAGCAGCAGCAATAAATAAGCGCTCAACTCGCGAGGGGTCATACAAAGAATAAAGTACGCGAGATAAAGAAGACAAAAGTAACAGCAACTCATCACAGCTGAGGAAGCCAAATGTAAACAAGAACCTTGTACTAAAGTGGACAAGAACCTTGTACTAGAGTGGACAAGAACCTTGTACTAGAGTGGACAAGAACCTTGTACTAGAGTGGACAAGAACCTTGTACTAGAGTGGACAAGAACCTTGTACTAGAGTGGACAAGAACCTTGTACTAGAGTGGACAAGAACCTTGTACTAGAGTGGACAAGAACCTTGTACTAGAGTGGACAAGAACTTGTACTAGAGTGGACAAGAACCTTGTACTAGAGTGGACAAGAACCTTGTACTAGAGTGGACAAGAACCTTGTACTAGAGTGGACAAGAACCTTGTACTAGAGTGGACAAGAACCTTGTACTAGAGTGGACAAGAACCTTGTACTAAAGTGGACAAGAACTTGTACTAGAGTGGACAAGAACCTTGTACTAGAGTGGACAAGAACCTTGTACTAGAGTGGACAAGAACCTTGTACTAGAGTGGACAAGAACCTTGTACTAGAGTGGACAAGAACCTTGTACTAGAGTGGACAAGAACCTTGTACTAGAGTGGACAAGACCTTGTACTAGAGTGGACAAGAACCTTGTACTAAAGTGGACAAGAACCTTGTACTAGAGTGGACAAGAACCTTGTACTAGAGTGGACAAGAACCTTGTATAGAGTGGACAAGAACCTTGTACTAGAGTGGACAAGAACCTTGTACTAGAGTGGACAAGAACCTTGTATAGAGTGGACAAGAACCTTGTACTAAAGTGGACAAGAACCTTGTACTAGAGTGGACAAGAACCTTGTACTAAAGTGGACAAGAACCTTGTACTAGAGTGGACAAGAACCTTGTACTAAAGTGGACAAGAACCTTGTACTAGAGTGGACAAGAACCTTGTACTAGAGTGGACAAGAACCTTGTACTAAAGTGGACAAGAACCTTGTACTAGAGTGGACAAGAACCTTGTACTAAAGTGGACAAGAACCTTGTACTAGAGTGGACAAGAACCTTGTACTAGAGTGGACAAGAACCTTGTACTAAAGTGGACAAGAACCTTGTACTAGAGTGGACAAGAACCTTGTACTAGAGTGGACAAGAACCTTGTACTAGAGTGGACAAGAACCTTGTACTAAAGTGGACAAGAACCTTGTACTAGAGTGGACAAGAACCTTGTACTAAAGTGGACAAGAACCTTGTACTAAAGTGGACAAGAATCTTGTACTAGAGTGGACAAGAACCTTGTACTGGCGTGAACAAGAACCTTGTACTAGAGTGGACAACAACCTTGTACTGGCGTGAACAAGAACCTTGTACAAAAGTGGACAAGAACCTTGTACTAAAGTGGACAAGAACCTTGTACTAGAGTGGACAAGAACCTTGTACTGGCGTGAACAAGAATCTTGTACTAGAGTGGACAAGAACCTTGTACTAAAGTGGACAAGAACCTTGTACGGGTGTGAACAAGAACCTTGAACTGGCGTGAACAAGAACCTTGTACTGGCGCGAACAAGAACCTTGTACTAGAGTGAACAAGAACCTTGTACTTGCGTGACCAAAGGCTTTATCGTATCTCTTCTTAAAGCTATGTATGGATCTCGCCTCTACTTCACTCTCCAGATTGTTCCACTTCATGACAACATTAAAGCTGAAGAAATACTTCCTAACATCCCTTATGACCTCTTGTTCCTGTAACCCATTTCTGAAACATTCTGTCAGTGTTCTCCTTGTCAATTCCTCTCAGCATTTTGTGCTTCATTATCATATTCCTCTTCTGCCTCATGTCCTCCAGTGTCGCCAGGATGAGTTCCCTTAACCTCTCCTCAGAGGACATTACACCTCAGCTCCGGGACTAGTCTCGTTGCAAACTTCTGCACTTTCTCCAATTTTTTTGACCAGCTTGACCACTGTGGATTTCATACTGGTGCTGCATACTCCAACAAGGGCCTGATGTACACGGTGTGTATTTGTGTGTGTGTGTGTATGTTTATATGTGCATGTGTGTGTGTATGTTTATATGTGCATGTGTGTGTGCGTGTGTGTACTCACCTATTTGTGGTTGCAGGGGTGGAGAGTGTGTGTGTGTGTGTGTGTGTGTGTGTGTGTGTGTGTGTGTGTGTGTGTGTGTGTGTGTGTGTGTGTGTGTGTGTGTGTGTGTGTGTGTACTCACCTAATTGTAGTAGCAGGGATCGAGTCACAGCTCCTGGCCCCGCCTCTTCACTGGTCGCTACCGGGTCACTCACGCCCTGCTCTGTGAGCTTTATCATATCTCTTACACACTCATGAACTCCTGTTTGCCTCTCAGCCGTGCTTTCTCCTGCAGGATCATGGTTCGGGTTGATTCTGCCTTGAAAATTACTTTGAGAGGCTGATTCCTTTTCTTTGTGAACCAGCCGATCCTCCTAAAATTTGCCACCTGGGTCATGTCTCCCTCGCCTATCACCTTCATGATACCTTCAATCGCTTGTTTCTCCTCCTGCTTTCTTTCATCATAAGTTTCCCCTTTAGCTTCGTCTAGCCCATAGACAAAAACTGATCTCTCCCTTTCCACCTCCCACTGTGACTCCCATTGCATCCTCTGAGGTGTTTTAGTTCCTTCCCGTGGAGTGTTCCTTCCTTCAGTCCCTTCCCTAGCTGTGGCCCCTATGCTCATTGGTTTGTCCTTCCTGCTCACCTGTTTCTGGCCCCCACAAGTGTCTGGTAAGATCCCTGCACATGTCCTAGTTCCTTCAATGTCTTCCAACCTCTCATTCTGTCCTGGTGTGCTCCTTGTCTTTGTTTTGGCCCCATGTGGGTTCGACAGGACCTCTGCATACAGTTTAGCTTCCATGCTCCCTTCAGACCCATTGTCTGTGTCTGATGTAGACATTGCTGATGCTACTTCTGTAATATCTTTGTCTCTAGGCTGTTTCAGATGTCTCAGCCCCTCTTCTAATCTCTGTACCTTGGCTTCTGCTACTGTGGCATGTTGCTCCCACCTTCTTCATTCTGCTAACCTCTCCTCCATCTTCCTTGCAAGCTCATCTAGGGGGAGGATGGTTATTGGAGGGGGAGAGGTGGTTGGGGGAGGGGGTTAGATGGTTTAGGTGAGGGGTAGGTGGCTAGGGGGATGGGGAGAGGTGGTTAGGGGAAGGGGGAGTATGTGTTTGTGTCAAGTGTATGTGTGCTTGTGTATGTGTGTATGCATGTGTGGGAGAGAGGGATGGGATTAAGGAGGGGAGGGGGGAGGGGGAGAGAAGGATGAGTGACCCTTAGAAGCAGGGGAGGTGTGTGCGTGTGTGTGTGATGGGATTAGAAGAGGAGGGGAAAGAAGGCTGAGAGTAGAATGACCGCTTGATAACGGGGTCCTTACGGGTGTGTGTGTGTGTGTGTGTGTGTGTGTGTGTGTGTGTGTGTGTGTGTGTGTGTGTGTGTGTGTGTGTGTGTGTATGTGTGTGTATGTGTGTATATGCGTGTGTTCGTGTGTATGGGGGAGGTCTGAGGGGGAGATACTGCTAATACATACCAGTAATTCTGAGTTATAAAAAGCGGAAATTGCTACTAGGGTCTAAAGCTTCTATAAGTGTCTACCCTTGTGTGTGTGTGTGTGTGTGTGTGTGTGTGTGTGTGTGTGTGTGTGTGTGTGTGTGTGTGTGTGTGTGAGGGAGAGATGGTTAGGGGGGTAGGGGAGGGGTTGTTGTGGTTGAAAGATCCGTTATACCTCTCTGTCGTGTAGGCTCAAATTTAGTCCCAGCTGTCTTTCCTAGTATTGCTACTCTCTCCACTTATTGCCCTTTCTGGATTTAAGTATCAATTACTCCTGGTTATTATCCTATTCCTTGTTCACATTGAGAGAGGACTTCCTAGCTTCCTAAGTATTCATACTGCTAATAACTACCGGTAGTAATACTACGTTACCCCTCGCTAGACTGCTGTCCTCCTCACACTCTCCTCAACACTATCTTCACTTTATCTATGCTATTTCTACTCTAATTCTGGTAATAGCTTGCAGGAGTGAGTGACCAGTATCTAACAGTGATGCAAGACCAGAATCCAGAGCCAACATGCAACCACAATAGATGAGCAATACTTGCGCTGGCATCGGTGCGGTGACAAGTTGCCAGATGCTGATGACGTAGTCGTCGTATAGGCCTTCTATCACTATTTTGGAAATCCTTCACCCGTGATGTTTATAACCATATATGCTCATACATCCCGCGTTCCTCACGCGATTTCACTTTTCACTTATGATAGTATACACTTCACATTATATACACTTCACTTTATATGTATAATGGCACACACCTTGTTGTGACGTCACTGCTTCAGCAGGCCTACTCTACCACTGTCCCTTATTATATGTTTTATTTTTCCTTTCTCCTTTTGCTTATTAACTTTTTCGTTCTCACTGTATGGTGCCCCACATTTCACTTGTTATCCAAACGCTGGTAATTCTTGAACACCCGCTTTCACACTCACTTTGATCTTTGTATATTTGAATCTGTGTGGCAACAGGTACCTACTGCCCCTAACGGTTTGGCACTTTGAAATATTAATGATTTCAGGCTTCCTCTCGACTTTTTTTTAACTAATAACTTTAGTTATCACTCGTAGGATTGTTCACTGACATTGTCACTACCACTGATTACTGCTAGCAGTTACTGCACACCTTAAAAACACTAACGTTCTTGGAGCCTTGTGCATCCACGTCTGCGTGACTGTGTATGTGTATGTGTATGTGTGTGTATGTGTGTGTGTGTGTGTGTGTGTGTGTGTGTGTGTGTGTGTGTGTGTGTGTGTGTGTGTGTGTGAGTGAGAGAGAGAGAGAGAGAGAGAGAGAGAGAGAGAGAGAGAAAGTTAATTGACTGACAGTGTTGAGAGTTGGTGAATTACGAGAGGATGCAGGTGGTGTCAACAGCTGACTGACTGACTGTTGACAGCTGGTGAGTTACGAGAGGACGCGGGGTGGGGTGGTGGTATCAACAGAGAAGGGTCTGGTGACCACGTCGAGGCTACTGGTGCAGTATGCAGAGACCAGACACACGGGGGTCTACACCTGCTCTCCTGCCAACTCCAAGCCCAAGAGCGTCAACGTCCACGTCATCGCAGGTCAGTTTTCAACCAGCGTATATTTATAACATGTTATTACCTATGCAAGACAAGCCATGAGGGATGGAAATCGCCAGCTCAAGATCTTTCACCCGTCTCCGTGCATCATCAGGAGCTATGGAATGTTGCAAGAGTAGCAACAGGTGGAAAGAATTTATGCCTTTTCAGAGTAAGGCAAAGTAAGATCTTCTTCCACCTGTTGCTACTCTTGCAACATTTTGTAGCTCCTGATGACGCAGGGAGACGTGTGGAAGATCTTGAGCTAGAGATTTCCATTCCTCGTGGCTTATCTTGCATTGTTAAGATGGCCCGACTACGATTGTGTTGATTGTAATTACCTATTTATGATAAAAGTTTGAAACATTGCAAATATTCCTGCACATACCTTAATAAGGAACTCTGTCCACTGTTCTTAAAGGTCAGTGGTCACGAAAGGTCAACCTGTCCTATTTCTCTGGGGGATTAGTGTGGAGCATTATAGAGCACCATAGCTTGTTGTAGCGTTTTGGAATCTCAGACTAACGTGTTGAAGGAGGAGGTTCTACTTCTCCAAGAAGAAAACAGGAGCCTGAAAACCCGCCTAGATGGATTTGGGAGTGAGTGTGCGAAGGGTGGAGTCTGTGTGGAGGAAAAGGTTACCAACAGTGAGTTAGAGTGGCAACTGCTTCAAGTGGAATGTGGTCTCTACTAAAGGTAGAAGGATCAGGATAAGGAAGCTTAATAGAGAAGATCTGAAGGTAGCAAATCGATTCTCTGTTCTTCAGGATGAGTGTAATTCAGTGGTTAGTGAGGTTAAAGATACCACTAGCTCACCTGCTAATCAAGGTAAGAATATTCTGGTTGTAGGTGACTCGCAGGTAAGAAATATGGACCATTCTTTCTGTAACAGAGGTAGGAACGTTAGACAGAGAGTGTGCTTCCCAGGAGCTGGTGTTGATGACATAGTCAACAGGTTGGATAATATATCAGGTACTGCAAGGAATTTGCAATTTCATTCATTGATAACTGGGACAAATTTTATGGCAAACGTGATATGTATGCAAGGGATGGGGTACATCTCTCAGGGGCTAGAGTGGTTGCATTAGCCAACTCAATTGAGGGTGGCCATTGCTGACGTGTCTAGGACTTTCAACTGATAGGTTATAGAGGTATAGGTGTGTGTGGGAAACAATCGAGCTGCAGTAAAGGGTTGAAATCAGCAGATATTACCAGGATACCTCAGGGATATGTTTAATAGACAATATTCAGAATAAAGTTGCTAGTAAAGGCAAAGCAATTGATCAACAGAGATAGTAGAAGGCAGCGAGTGACTAGCTCCCTAAAGGTTTACTATACTAATAGTAGGAGTCTAAGAAACAAGATAGATGAGCTAAGATTACTTGCACATGCAGATAATATAGATATTATTGCTTATAACAGAGATCTGGTTCAACCTGAAAGATAGAGAAATGCCTTCTGAATACAAGGCTATAACATATTCCACACTGATTGGGTCAACAGGAAGGGTGGAGGAGTGGTGATGTATGCGAGAGATAATTTAAAATGTTGTGTTAGATAATATATAAGATTAGAAGCATCAGACACAGAATTTGTTTGGCTACAATTTCTCGAGGGTCGTGGCAAATTAATTTTGGGTGTGATTTATAGGCCCCCAAATCTTGATAGGGAGTGCGAAAAGCTGCTATGGGACGAGATTCATAAGGTGTCTAGATATGAAAATATCGTGTTAATGGAAGATTTTATCTTTAGGCAAATTGATTGGAACAATATGACAGGAAATCTTGAGTCTAGTGACTTTCTTGATATGATTCAGGATTGCTTTTTGAAACAGCGTGACTGAACTAACTAGAGGAAACAATGTGCTAGACTTGGTTTTTGCCAAAAAGGAATCGTTAATTAATAAACGTGAGGTTAATGAGCTTGGGGAAAGCGATCACAAATCACTTAGTTTCAATATATCGAGGAATTACCCAAATAACTGCAATCAAGTCTTTGTCCCAGACTTCTGCTAGGCCGATTTCATGAGACTGAGAAATTACCTGGGTGGGCTAAATTGGAACGATCTGACTATAGGTCAGGTAGGTGGTGTTGGTTACCAATATGACGTTTTTCAGAGCATAGTTCTAGCTGCCCAAAGAATGATGCTCACACTCCGTTAGGATCGCAACACTCATTGTTACACTGTTCATCAAGATTTGTTCACCATAATGTCACTAAAGAAGTTGATCACACTTCTCTGTGTCTTGATATGGTCTTTGAGATACTTTTATGCACAAAAACGCATGGATCAGCGTTCTTTGTTGGTTATCCCAGCATCAATGCGAGTCCTAGCAGGGTCAAAAGCAATCTGACGACGCCACAGCCTCCTACAACGCCACTCCACTAGCCCATAAAGGAAAGCTGACCTAGTATATTTTGCTTCCTTGCCAAACTTCCACCAGGAAGGAAAGCAGAATGCTTGATTCTTGCTGTCTTAAGCATAGACAACAATGTACACTATCTTTACCATGGTAATAAAGTGGGTACAGGTTTTTCCTTAATTGTCCTGCTAAGGTAAGAGATTGACTGTCTCTTATTAAACTAAATTACTTGCAACATTAGTGTCTTGCAAGGAACCGCGTGACCACATAATTGGTACACACTGGTTAAACATCTGCTGGTAGTTACTTGATGTAACAGTAAACAAGAGGCTTGCCTCTTCTGAGAGGGCTGGGCCCCTCAGGGCTGAAGAGGGCTTAAGGGGGTTGATACCTCCCTCCTGGAGAAATTTTCTCCACACAGTACATTCAATTAAGGGGTAAAATAAAAAATCGAATAAGAAAAGCTAAGAGAGATTATGAGGCTAAAGTGGCAAGGGATTCGAAGACTAACCCAAAAGGTTTCTCTCAGGTATACATAAGTAAGATTAGCTAATTAGGGGCAAAATTGGCCCACTCAAAAGTAACTCAGGTCAGATCACTGACATTGATAAGGAAATGTGTGAAATTTTTAACTCTTATTTCTTCTCAATTTTTAAGCAGGAAGATACTAGTGAAATTCAAGAAATGATAAAACTATGTAGAACAGGACGATAATAAACTACGCACGATTAGTGTCACTAGTGACATGGTCCTCAGACAAATGTAGAATTTCAAACCTAACAAATCCCCAGGTCCTGATGAACTGTTTGCAAGGGTTTTAAAGAAATGTAAAGAGGAACTTAGCTAACCTTTGCCTAGTCTTCTCAACATATCACTACAAACTGGCATAGTGCCGGACAAGTGGAAAATGGCAAATGTAATACCTACTTACAAGGAGCATAAATAATACGAGTCCTCAGGTTGTTCTTCAACTCTGTATATCTTTCGTTAGGCCTCATTTAGATTATGTTTCACACTACTGGTCACCGTATTACAGAATGGATATAAATGCACTGGAAAACGTACAAAGGAGGATGACAAAGTTTATCCTATGTCTCAGAAATCCTCCCTATGAGGACAGACTGAGGGCCCTGAATCTGCACTCTCTAGAAAGGCGTAGAATTAGAGGGGATATGACTGAGGTGTATAAATGGAAAACAGGAATAAAGGGATTATAGATAGCGTGCTAAAAATATCTAGCAAGGACAGGACTCGCAGCAATGGATTTAAGTTGGGTTGGTATTAGAATTATGGATGAGTGGAATAAACTCCCGAGTACCGTCATAGAAGCTAAGACGTTGTGTAGTTTTAAAAATAGGTTAGGTAAATTCATGAGTGGGTGTGAGTTGGACTTGACTAGCTTGTGCTAATAGGTTTGATTCTATGTGACCTGACCTGACTATGTGGGTCATTGGTTTAAGCCGGGAGGTGACTTCAATATGCCTCGCATGGGCCAGTAGGCCTGCTGCAGTGTTCCTTCTTTCTTATGTTCTTACACTGTGTCCTTTCATATACTCTCAACATTATTGTATTACACTGGGAGGCGCTACAACTGAGGATGATCAACATCTGCAGAATGGATGGATGCAAGGAAAGGAGAGGTAGATGTAATTCCTCGGATAAAGAGCTTTCTTGCAGGCATCAAGGCACTTCCTTCAAGGTGTTCTCTCGTGTACTCTAGAGACGTTATCTTTCTATAATGTCTAAAATTTATTATAATCTTAGTCTCTGCACTCGTTCTCCATTGCTCAAATTACTTTGTTATACAGTTAACTTTATTGTTGGTCTCTGAGCTAAGTGTATTTTGTTTACGATTCTTAAATGTGTATTATGACAGCTACACTAACTGGTATGTAATATACATTAAGTGGAATCTAACATACACTAACTGGGATCTAACATACACTAACTGGGATCTAACATACACTAACTGGTATCTAACAAACATTAACGTAAGTCTAATAAATGCTGGCTTGAATCTACCAAATCTGCTCTAAGAATCTGAGATTATATACACACTAACTGGGGTCCAACATACTGGGGTATAACATACACTGAGGACAAACAGACTTGTGACAAACATACTAAATTAGTGTGCAAATTAATTGGGACACGAGTAAATTTTGTGATTATCTCATGTGTCTTAATCTCTGGCTTAATTAATGTAATTTGGGTCTTTTCTTTTCAGAAAAAGTTTGTTACAAACTTCTGACAACCATCCAGCTGTGGTGTTACTCTGCGACTCTCGTCAGTGCCACAACAGCTGTTGTTCTGTAAGGATATTCCTGCAAGTGTGCTCCATGAGTGAATGTGGTTTTACCAGTTCATGATTACTGCTAAAATTCATGATGTATGTTACACCTAGGAAGCGTGCAAGTATCGTAGCTCTTAGAAATCATACTGCTTTGAGTATTAGATCACCGAAAATTTAAGCCTAGCAAAGTCAATTGTTGGTCAGATTCGAAAAAAAGCTGAAGATACTGGTGATTGTGGTTCACTGCGTCGAGGAAGATGTGAAAGAAAACCCAAGACAACACCTCACGATGAAAAGGTTATCGTAAATAGTGTGAAGGATCCCAAGAAAACCAGCAAAGATCTACAGAGAGATTTGGCTTCAGCTGCCGTAAATGTTGATTCGTCAACTGTTCGAAGAGGCTCACTGAAGTTGGCAGAACTGCCACAAAGCCGGTAAAGATACAATTATAGACTGCTGCTATGAAGAAAAAAATCGGCTGAATGGGCAGTCGAGCATAAGTAATGGATGACAGATGAATGGAGAAAAGCTAAATTTTCAGATGAGGCGCATTTTATTTAAAGTACCTAGCTAGAGATCAGTGGTGGTGGCACGGAGTAAAGGCGAACCTCTTCGAAATGGACACATTCAACAAGCGCCCTAACACCCACCTAAGATGTTTTCGGGTAGTTTTACTGCTAAAGGCCTAGGACGACTTGTTATTGTTCAGGGAACGATGAACAGTGAGAGATACAAGACAATCCTAGCAACTCACTTGCTTCCCATCGTGGACAGGCCTTCCTGATAAAGAAGGCATTTTCCAGCAGGATCTTGCTCCATGCCACACTTCCAGAAAAATGCTAGCATTCATCGAAGAGAGCCGGCTAAGCGTTCTAAACAGCCTGGAAACTCTCCTGACCTATACTAATTGAAAATTATGGACAATAACGAAACACAGGATAGCGAAACAGGATTGTTCACCTGTGGAGAAGCTAAATGCTGCTGTTATTAGAATCTATTACCACGACCAACTTGCCAAAATGTGTTCAAAATTGGTCGATTCTATGCCCAAGAGTGCAGCAGTTCTTATAAAAACAAAGGCTAGTCATATCTCTTATTAGATCAGTTATCTGTTGTATCTTTTGTGTATTTTATCAAATAAACATTAATTTTCCAAATGTCTCATTTCATCACTGTCCCAATTAATATGCACACTAGTGTATATGAGAACTAACTTACACTAACTGGGGTCAAATATACATTATGAGAGGACTAACATATCAACTGGGGACTAACATACATCAACTGGGGACTAACATACATCAACTGGGGACTAACATACATCAACTGGGGACTAACATACATCAACTGGGGACTAACATACATCAACTGGGGACTAACATGCATCAACTGGGGACTAACATACATCAACTAGGGACTAACATACATCAACTGGGGACTAACATGCATCAACTGGGGACTAACATACATCAACTAGGGACTAACATATCATCTGGGGACTAACATACATCAGCTGGGGACTAACATACATCAACTGGGGATTAACATACATCAACTAGGGACTAACATATCATCTGGGGACTAACATACATCAGCTGGGGACTAACATACAACTGGGGACTAACATACATCAACTGGGGATTAACATGCATCAACTGGGGACTAACATACATCAACTAGGGACTAATATATCATCTGGGGACTAACATACATCAGCTGGGGACTAACATACATCAATTGGGAACTAACATACATCAATTGGGGACTAACATACATCAACTGGGGACTAACATACATCAACTGAGGACTAAGATGCATCTACTGAGGACTAATACTAACTGGGAACTCACACTAACCGGGGCCATACACTAAAAGGGGACTCTCAATAACCGGGGACTCGCACTAAGCGGAGACTCTCACTAACTTTATAAACACTGAAGTATTTTATCTTAACCCATTTCCCCTCTCTCTCTCTCTCTCTCTCTCCCTCACCTTGAAACACTATTACTCTTAAATCAATATTTAATCTTTCTGAAAATATTTCTGTACGATTCTGTCATCATGAGACAGATACTGACTCACGAAATCGTAATGACACGATTGCCAACAAACCATACCACGGGCGGGATTTGAACCCGCGGTCAGAGAGTCTCAAAACTCCAGACCGTCGCGTTAGCCACTGGACCAGCTAGCCACAATAAGATTCGTCCAACTAGGTATATTTCTACACCATAGGAAGGTTAGCACAGGCACCTCTGTGACCACAAATGCAAGTTCGTCTGTAAAAACTTGCATTTGTGGTCACAGTGGTGCCTGTGCTAACCTTCCTATGGTGTAGAAATATACCTAGTTGGACGAATCTTATTGTGGGTAGCTGGTCTAGTGGCTAACGCGACGGTCTGGAGTTCTGAGACTCTCTGACCGCGGGTTCAAATCCCGCCCGTGGTATGGTTAGACAGATACTGTCTAACACCTAACTTATGACACTTCTCTAAATTCTGTCTTATCTAATGTGTGCGCGGGAGAGAGCGAGCGAGAGAGTAGAGGGAGAGTAGAAAGAGAATAGAGAGCAGAGATAGTACAGAGAATAGAGAGGAAAGAGTAGAGAGGGGAGAGATGGGAGGAGAGAGGAGTGAGAAAGAGAGAATTTGTTTCCAACTGTTGACACTACACACTACATTAACAACACATAAATATAAAACTTAGTATTATTAGTGGCGTTCGTTCAGACACACCATCGATACAAGCGATGTATAGCAGATATACCTCTCTCAGTATTAATGCACCAACAGGTATACCTTCCCATCAGTAGGGATAAATGCATTCTAGATTGTGACTGTATAGGTAATATGTCCCCGGTTGGTGAGAGTCCACGGGCACTTATAATTAAAAATCACAATTCTTGTCATCTATGCCAAGATGTTTCCCACAAACTTTGCATTTTAACTTTTGATAATTTAAAAATAAAATTATCTGTGTCAAAAGAAAAATATTTTTTGTCTTATCTGATGATATTAGTAATATTAGTAACAATTATTAATTGGCCTTTTTTGTAAATTAGTGTTATTGTTATGTCTCTCTAACCTTTGTATATGTTTTAGTTAAAAAAAAATAATCTTTACTTGACTTATCAATTTCAGGATCAACTTGAGCGCCAGTTCGTTAATGTTTCTAGTTCCAGGTCGTTGTGAGCGCTTGAGTAATAATTTATTTGATTCCAGGTTTAATATGAGTATCTATCATTTAATTTTAATTGCAGTAGGGCCATCTCGTCTGATAATATTACAGCGCTTAGGCAACGTTTTGCAGAGCCTAAGGTCACTGTTGGTTATGTCCGACTGTCTTTTAAGTTTGTTCATCTGTATCTCTTTTCTTTTATCTCCCTCCCTCTTTCTTTAGAAATGTATCGTAACTAACATATTCATTCATATTCACACAAAATCTCTCTCTCTCTCACCCTGAGAACGAAGTACTAACAGTACTCTCTCTCTCTCTCTCTCAGGGGATCAGCCAGCGGCCATCGTTCACGAAAACGGATGTGCTGCTGTAGTGGGGCTAATCTCCCTCGTGCTCTCCCTCACTCTCCTCTCCCTGTCTCTTTCTCCTCTCCTTCTTCTCTCGTAATGCTCGGCCTCACTCGTCGCCAGCTTTCCCTCACCACTTGACGCTGGTATTCGGAAGACAAGGCAGCTCCGCGTGTGGATGCAGTGGCTAGAAGAAGACAGCCTGCGTGTGGATGCAGTGGCTAGAACAAAAAGCACACGTGTGGATGCAGTGAATAGGACAAAGCAGCCCACGAGTGGATGAAGTGGATAGAACAAGGCAGCCTACGAGTAGATGCAGTTATAAAAACTATGAGAGTAGTGATCAGGGGAAAGTCATGTTGATACAGATATAAAAAACAACGTAGCCAGCATGTAAATAATGACTGTGTGGACACCTGACGACTCCAGGAGTCACCCCCTCATTGACCCAGCCTAAGACTTGGCCTCCTAGATGACAGTCTAATCAAACAGGTTGTTGGTGATAACCTTACGCAGTCTAGCATTGGCACCATAGCCCGAGTGATCAAAATGAATCTGACTCGTGTGTGTGTGTGTGTGTGTGTGTGTGTGTGTGTGTGTGTGTGTGTGTGTGTCTGTGTGTGTGTGTGTGTGCGCTGTGTGTTAGTTACCATTTTGTCCTAGGCACATGTCGATTAGACACTAGGCCTGTTGTATATACGTGCGTGTGTGTGTGTGTGTGTGGGGGTGTGTGTGCACTCACCTAATTGTGGTTGCAGGGGTCGAGACTCAGCTCCTGGCCCCGGCTGTGTGTGTGTGTGTGTGTGTGTGTGTGTGTGTGTGTGTGTGTGTGTTGTGTGGTGGTGTGTGTGTGTGTGGTGTGTGGTGTGTGTGTGTGTGGTGTGTGTGTGGTGGTGGTGTGTGTGGTGGTGGTGGTGTGTGTGGGGTTGTGGTGGTTGTGGTGGGTGTGTGTGTGGGTGTGTGTGGTGTGTGGTGTGTGGTGTGGTGTGGTGGGTGTGTGTGTGTGTGGTGTGGTGTGGTGGGTGTGTGGTGGGTGTGTGGTGGTGGTGTGTGGTGGTGTGTGTGTGGTGTGTGTGTGGTGGTGTGTGGTGTGTGTGTGGGTGGTGTGTGTGTGTGGTGTGTGTGTGGTGGGTGTGTGTGTGGTGTGTGTGGTGTGTGTGTGTGGTGTTGTGGTGTGTGTGGTGTGTGTGTGTGTGGTGGTGTGTGGTGTGTGTGGTGTGTGTGTGTGTGTGTGTGTGTGTGGTGTGGTGTGGTGTGTGTGTTGTGTGTGTGTGTGGGTGGTGTGTGTGTGTGTTGTGGTGTGTGTGTGGTGTGTGTGTGGTGTGTGTGTGTGTGTGTGGTGTGTGTGTGTGTGTGTGTGTGTGTGGTGTGGTGTGTGTGTGTGTGTGTGTGTGGTGTGTGTGGTGTGGTGTGTGGTGTGTGTGTGTGTGTGTGTGTGTGTGTGTGTGTGTGGTGTGTGTGTGCGTTGTGGTGTGTGTGTGTGTGTTTTGGAGGGTGTTGGGGTGCGGTGTGGGTGGTGGTGGTGTAGTGTGTGTGGTGGCGTACGGAGCGGTGTGGTGTGTTAGTGTGTGTGTGTGTGTGTGTGGCGTACGTGGTGTGTGTGTGTGTGTGTGTGTGTGTGTGTGTGTGTGTGTGTATGTGTGTGTGTGTGTTGTGTGTGTGTGTGTGTGGTGTGCGTGCGTGCGTGCGTGCGTGCGTGAGAGCTCGTTGATAACGCGTAGTCATAATACAAAATAAGAGATTATAACAACACTTAACACGTGGTTACAGCAACACATCAGAACACGTTGTTGTGGCAATACATCAAAGACACATTGTTATTTACACGTTAAACACGTGATTACAACATATCAGAACAAGTGGCTATAACACATCAATACACGTGGTTACAACCCCTCAAAACACGTTATAACACATCAAAACACATGATTACACCTCAAAACAGGTGGCTATAACACATCAAAGCAGTGTTTATAACACCTACAAAGTCTTAGTTATAACGACCTCAACCAGATATACAATAAAATTTACGTATCTCAAAGTGATGGGCAAGATTTAAAAAAGCCTACTATTAGTAAAAGTTTGAATCCGATAAAAAGGCATTCTCCAGTAACTAATTTGAGTCCTGAAAATTCAATTTTTCTTTGACCTCTATTAGTAAATTTTCAAATCTGCGCCTGTTCTAAATTATGAGGCATCATTGTCAATATTTTAAAGCCAATCAGAAAAAGAACTAAGTTACTGAATAAGAAATATCACTGTTTATTCAATAAAATAGACATTTTTGGAATTTTCTTCAATAAGTCGGCCGTCTCCCACCGAGGCAAGGTGACCCAAAAAGAAAGAAAATCCCCAAAAAAAAATACTTTCATCATTAAACACTTTCACCTCATTCATAAATAATCACTGTTTTTGCAGAGGTGCTCAGAATGCAACAGATTAGAAACATATATAAACACATAAATCATATCCCTCCAAACTGCCAATATCCCGAACATCTCCTTTAAAGTGCAGGCATTGTGCTTCCCATTTCCATTTGGGCTTATGGCATCCAGTACCAGCGTGAGCCTTGTGTTTAGGAAACCACATCTGTAAAAATTTGAACCCGATCGGACTAGTCATTCTTCTGTTATGGCGCGGATTCTAACAATTCCATGTCTTTATTATTTTACTACATCAACAAATTCACCAGCACTCAAGCTAAACTTAACAGTTAATATCCTGGCCTTAAAATACATCAACCAGTACATAGTGAACTCCTTCAAATGACGCAAACTTAAAATTATTGAACGTGATTTAGCGGGAATAGAAAAAAAAATCACACAAAATCATGAAATATGCACCAACATGTCTGAACATGACTTTTCGCCGTCGTCGAATATATTTGAGGCACCTTTATTAAATGCTTAAATCTACACTACTAAGGACAGGATTGTGTAAGTTATCAGAATCATTCCAAAATGCTGGGAATGGGTAAATACTTGGGTCATAAGCCACGCCACCAAGCCCAATGTTCCAAGAATTTGGTCCTCGTTACCTTGCACAAATGTTGATTATTGGAAGACGATTGGGCGAGATGTTCTAGGGTTATGACCGAAAAAAATCGAAAACTTGGTAAAGAGGAAAATTCAGAGCTTCTCTTAAAATATACTAACTCTGGTGATGTCTAATAAAACGTGGTTACAACACTAAACGACACGTGGTTAAAACACGTGGTTATAGCAACACGTAACGACACGTGGTTATAGCAACACTTAATTTGTGGGTATGACAACACGAGTAACACCACCTACCAACACGTGGTTGTAACACCACCTAATAACACGTGGTTATAGCACCACCTACCAACACGTGGTTATACCACCACCAACAACACGTGGTTATAAACCACCTCCAAAACCTGGTTAAACACCCCCTAAAACAGTGGTTATAACACCACCTAACAACACGCGGTTATAGACCCCCTCCCAAAAAGTTTTTATAAAACCACCTAAAAACACGCGGTTATAACACCACCTACCAACACGTGGTTATAACACCACCTAACAACACGTGGTTATAACACCACCTAAAAACACATGGTTATAGCACCACCTACCAACACGTGGTTATAACACCACCTAACAACATGTGGTTATAACACCACCTAACAACATGTGGTTATAACACCACCTAACAACACGTGGTTATAACACCACCTACCAACACGTGGTTATAACACCACCTAAAACACGGGTTTAACACCCCCTAAAAACACATGGTTTTTAGCCCACCTACCAACACGTGGTTATAACACCCCCTAAAAAACCCCCGTGGTATAACCCCCTACCAACACGGGGTTATAAACACCTCCCAACACGTGGTTATAACACCACCTAACAACACGCGGTTATAACACCACCTAACAACACGTGGTTATAACACCACCTAACAACACGCGGTTATAACACCACCTACCAACACGGGGTTTTATAACACCACCTAACAACCGCTTTTTATAAAAACCCCCTACCAACACGTGTTTAAAAACCACCTAAAAAACACCGGTTAAAACACCACCTTCCAACACGTGGTTATAACACCACCTAACAACACGTGGTTATAACACCACCTAAAAACACATGGTTATAGCACCACCTACCAACACGTGGTTATAACACCACCTAACAACACGTGGTTATAACACCCCTAACAAATGGGGGTTATAACAACCTAAAAAACACGTTTTTTATAGCACCCCCTACCAACACGTGGTTATAACACCACCTAACAACATGTGGTTATAACACCACCTAACAACATGTGGTTATAACACCACCTAACAACACGTGGTTATAACACCACCACCAACCGGGGTTTTAAACACCCCTAACAAAACGGGGTTAAACACCCCCAAAAAAAACAAGGTTATAGCACCCCCTACCAAACGTGGTTAAACACCACCTAAAAACCGGGTTAAACCCACCTCCCCAAAAGGGTTATCCACCCCCTACCAACCGGGGTTAAAACACCACCTAAACAACAGCGGTTAAACACCACCTAACAACACGTGGTTATAACACCACCTAACAACACGCGGTTATAACACCACCTACCAACACGTGGTTATAACACCACCTAACAACACGCGGTTATAACACCACCTACCAACACGTGGTTATAACACCACCTAACAACACGTGGTTATAACACCACCTAAAAACACATGGTTATAGCACCACCTACCAACAGGGGTTTAACACCACCTAACAACATGTGGTATAAACCCCCTAACACATGTGGTTATAACACCACCTAACAAACGGGTTATAGACCCCCTACCAACACGTGGTTAAAAACCCCCCTAACAACTTTGGGGGGTTATAACCCACCAACACTTGGTTATAACACCCCTACCAACCGTGGTTATAACACCCCCTAACAACACGGGGTTTTATAACACCACCTAATAAACGGGTTATAACCACCAACACGTGGTTATAACCCAAAAACTGGGGTTTTTTTATAACCCCACCTAATAACACGTGGTTAAAAAAAAACTTTCAGATCACCTTTAAATATTTGGATACTCCAAAACCCTGGAAGTCATCGGTGCCGGGTAGGGAACGTCAAGACTGAGCAAGTTCACTCTCTGGAATCAAAATCTCTCACCATCATCCAGGAGCTACTCTTGAGGGGAATAACAATTCAGAACACGTGAGTATAACATTTTAGAACACTTGACTTCAACAACCCTTTAGAACACGTGATTCTAACAATGCATAACACGGTTATAAAACAATACTTTGTGCACGTGATGTAGGTTGACACTTTTGCAAATTCGAGTCAAAATTATTTCGCCCGAAGGCTTCTAGTTACGCAGTTTTTCATTATTCAAAGTCAAAAATAAGAAAAACCTTCAAGGGATCAATACATTTCCTAAAATCAAATTTGTTAATAATTTACTAAATATTCTGTTTTTTTTTTTTTACTGGGTGGTGTGTGTCTTGTTTTTTTTTTTTGGGTTAAAAAAAAAAAATATTGCGGAAAAAAATTAAAATAAAAAGGTGGTGTTTTTTAAGAGCAAAACTTTTTCATTAAAGGAAAAAATGGTACTGGAAAAAAATTTGCCATTTTTTCCATACCTTTTTTTGAAAAAAGGAAAATCCAATTTTTAGAATTTTTTTTTTTTTTTGGGGTTGTATTTAAAATTTTATTTTGGAAAACTGTAAAAAAATTTTTTTTTTAGGGA